GAGTTTCTAGGCAGACGCTTGGCAGTTTGTACCTTACCACCAGTAACGATTCCGGAGCTTCGATTGGCGCTGCAAGACAAATGGGCAGCAATGCCTCAACAACTCATTGACACCCTCATTCTCAGCATGGGCAGACGCTGTGAAACCTGCCTAGCAGTCAGGGGAGATCATATCCCCTATTAAAGACCGGATGTTTCTTGCTGGACACGCATCACAGGGATGTTTCGGCCTTCAGTCGCATTGCGCTCCATGCTACTTTTTCAATAAAGCTTCTTTTTATCCCTCTGATTTCTCTTTTAGTATGTGCTGCTTACATTACTCATGTCTTTACGCATTGGGGATCTTACGGTATTAAATGTGTTGATTTGTAAAGCTTTTGTACAAAGTTATATTGAAAAAACCGTCTTGTTCTTAATTTTTGCACACCAGTGTATTATACATCCCTCAAACGTTTATAAGGTCTGAAATGGTGAATTATTGCAACGGTATGAAACTAACAGCATCTTTAAGCAAATGAGTTCAAAATTTTACGCTTGGAGTTTTGTGCAATACTTTGACTAGGCATTACGCACTCCCTTGACTTTATCCATGTACACATCGATATATTTTTCACTTAAAAAGTCAAAAGATCACCCAGTTCTAGGTAAAAGTATATTTACGAAACATTCAACTACTCAGGCTACCATAAATGAAACAACTTAGCGATAAACGAAACAACAACTTGGCAATAAATGAAACAACAACTTCGCGATAATACAAGAGGTACCCTTCAGTCTACTCTAACCGCCATAAATTTATATTCTGACAGGAAAATGGGAAACTAGAAGACAGCAAAGCAAATTAACATAAAATAACTGGTTAATAAAACTAAATATATATTCTACAGGTTTGTTTTAAAAACTTTCCTCAGACTCTGTTGTTAACTTCGCGATAATTCGTTGTCAGTTTAACTAGAGTTTGATTCCAGTTCATGATAGATAAGAAAACCAAGCTTTATATATATATATATAAATATAATTATATATATTTAAATATATTTTATAAAAACATAAATATTATTGTAATTAAAAGGAAAAAATGAAACAAATGTTAATTGAAAGTATTTCTATTACTGCGTAATATGTAGGTACATGATACAGTAATTTTTTTAACTAGATGGTGATTTTTGCTGGCGATAATGTCTGACGCAACTCATTAAACGTTTTGCGGGAAGGAGTGCAAAGTTTTTTAGTACCTCTCATGATCTGTCCTCTTCTTCCTTCATTTGAGTCAATGTCCATTGCAAAATCAGACAATGTCTGTGCCATCTTAACAATTCACTTAACTTTTTGTATGTTAACCCTTTATTTCCCCACGGGATTTTAAAGTCCCAGCAATAAAATCACTCATTTGTGTCCCAATGGGAATTTTAAGCCCCAATTAAAAAAAAAAAAAAAAAAGCAATGAAAAACTTGTAACATTTTTGTAAGTTTAATGTGAGCTATATCTCATGTACAAAGGAATATAATAAAAAAGTTACAAACTCTTTTTGTAAAAATAAGGTAATTTGGGACATAAAGGGTTAAAAGCTCTTTATCTTCCTCATTGTTGCTGCTTTCACCGTCGACTGGTGTTATAAGACCATCCAATTCTTTTTTTGTTATTTCACCATCGTCATTCTTGAATAATTCTTTTATTTCTCCTTCTTCCTTAGTTAAAAATTCTTGGCTGTCTATTGCTTTTATAATTTGCACAGTTTCCTTGTCTTCGTTTTCAAGTGATGGAATTTTTTTAAAATTGCTGAAAGTTTCCGGCCTGAGCTGACAAGCAACAAGCATTCGAATTCATATGTTCTGGTGCGAGTTTAATCATTTCTGTGCAGTGTCTTATGTTGTTCTAGGTTTTTATGCCAAAATGCCTCTAGTATATCGTGCTTTCTTTCGTCTAGTGTTTTATATTTTTGCAGAGAAGCAAATGCGCCTGACGTAATAAGGTTTTGAATGGCTTTATAATTCCTTGATCCATTAGTTAGATTAAGGATGCGGACTTCAGTGGAAGTAATAAAAGCTTTATATTTGGATGCATTGATCGTAAGGGCTTCAACAGTGTGTCTTGGAGCGTTATAGAGAACTAGGAGAACTTTAAAGCTCAGGTTTCATTGTTATAAATAATATTCGACTTCTTCAAAGAATTAATTTTTAAATGAAATTTAAAGAGGGCCTTTTTTTTTTACCCAAGCTTTACTATTCCACTTCCACACAATCGGCAATTGCTCAGAATGTTTTCCTTGCAATGTCCGAGACGTTAAGATCGCTAAAACAGCAGAGGCTTCCACCTGAAGTCGCTTGATGCATTTTCACCAAAATCAATGCGAATATAACCTTAAAGGCTTTAAAACTAGGGGCAACCTTTTTGTATCTTTGTGATGTAGTTTTGATGTCCCATTCGCTTCATAGGCTCGTCTCATACGCATTGAAAACTCGTTGCGGGAAGTGATCCTTTTGCTTCAACTAATTTCAAAATTTTGGGTTTGAATTTCTGTGCTGCTTTTTTATCTGCAGAGCCAGCTTCTTCCTGCTACATTACATTATGTAAATTGAAACGACAATTTAAGTTTTCAAGCCAACGATTTAAGTTTTCAAGTTTTGCTTGTTTGAAAGTTTGATACCTGAAGACTAACCACCTTTATTTAAAAGGAAAGAAAAAAAATCTAAAGTATTGTGTTAGTTAGCAGTACCATCACCAACTCAGCCCTTTTCATTTACTTGAATTTTAATACAAGCTATTAACATTTTTTCTATCTTTCTTAAAACTTGAGCAAACTTTCCCGAAGTATCACCTGAAGCTTTGGCACTAGACAGAATCTTTTCTTCATTTTTCTACATTGTTCTTATGCTTGTTTCATTTATTCGTTTACAGCTAGCTTCTTTGCAAGAGATAAAGCATCTGTACCATTTTTAAATTTATCTAAAATTTCTATTTTTCTAAGATGATGTCAAAACCATTTTTTTCCCTTTTTTATGCTTTATCATCTTCATTCTTCCTTTTAGATGGCATATTGAATTTCCAAGTTAGAAAACATACAAATGCAAAAGCAAAAGAGGATATACACTTATAAATGCGTGATTACAGCTTTGATAGGGCGAGTGAAAAGATAGCAATTCGAGTTGAGTCACTCAGCTAGCGGGCAGCTCTAGGTACGTTTGCCCACACATGCGCGCGAGTGTTCTCTTGTAAACAGCAAAGTCCATAGAAAAATAATTTATACTCTTTTCAACGATCGAGTTCTATGATGTCGCTTATAGAAATGCGCGAAACGAAACCACAAAAGGAATAGTTACATTTTAGCGGATTTATGACTCAGTGGCGACATATGCTGAATTATTTCTCGTCAGAATTTTAAACCTCCTTTTACGTCTGAAGTCTGGTAAGTGTATGTTGCTATCGCAACGCAGCCGACGCTCTACAGCGTACAGCGTATGATTGAAATTCTCTCTTTGGAAAAATTAAATGGAGACAAGTAAGATAATACGTATACGTAAAATCGCATTCCGCAAGTTCGGTTTGTAAGGGTTTACTATATCTCTTTCTTTACAGAAAATAAAACAAAATATTCTTCATGGGAAAATTTAGTTTTAAAGATGAATATATCAGTAGAGTATAAAGAGAAGTGAAAAAGAAAAGTTAATAAACCAGATTGTTAAGAGTCAATAATGGAAGAAGGGACAGATATTTTAATCTGTCAGTTGAAATGGAGATGTGACGAGACAGCTTCCGATTTCCATTTTCTAACTGGTGACAAATTGCCGTTAGACTTAGGTATTTTAAAAGGAGAAGCTGATTACATAGGTGTTAAATATCCCAAATGTTATAAAAAGGCTAGATATTATGTTAAAAGTATTTAGTTTTAAAATCCGCGTTACTTGTATAATAATTATCGCTAATGCAAGATCAGATCTTTTGAAGAAAATTTAGGAATACAGTTTATTTCAATCATATCTGAATTAGGAAAGTGCCCGTTGAATATTTTTAACTTTGCCAGTGAGTGTTGTTGAAATAAAACAGGTTTCAGAAAACCTTAAAATAATAAACTACTCAAATTATTCCCCCTTAGTGGAAAAAATACTTACTATTAGCTCTAGTTTTTCAGTAAATAATCAAGTATATTTTGAAAAGTTACTGTCGATATTACTTCATTAAAAGGATGAAAAATTAAATTAACCGAACAAAGTGAAAGCCGAATTTCCACTTTTCCCTACCGGTACGAGAGCGTCCAAATGTTGCAGCCGGGGGACCCACAACTACGTCTGTACTAATTCAGAAGTCAAACAACAACGTCTGTACTTTGTACGTCTGTACTTTGCAAATGAATTTCTAATATGATATGATGCTGATAACGACTGACCATTTCGCATACTATGGACGGACGAGGTGCATTTCAACTTAAATGGCAACATTAATATTAAGAATTGTGTTCACTTGACAGAGACGAATCCCTACTCTGTGGTACCAGTACCATTATTTGACGTTAAAGGGACTGTGTGGTTCAGCCACATTTGATCTCGGCCAGTTCTTCTCTGAGGAAGCGACACCGACGGGCCTTGTAATATGCTTTGTAACAAGCTCTCGGTATACAGCCTTGCTGCAAAATTATGTATTACCGGAATTATGTAGGCGGAATGCACGTAATGACATTGTTTGGATGCAAGATGGTGCAACTCCACACATAACGAGATCTGTTAAAAGGGTTCTGGAACAGCATTTTGGTGATCGCATCATCTCATGCCATTATCCTTTTCCGTGACCTCTGCGATCCCCGATCTGACACCTATGGATTTCTGGTTTGGGGGGCTATGGCGGATTTAAATGATTCTATACAGCGTGAGATTGTAAACATCCCACATGCCATGTTGCGTTCAGCGGTATTGTCCCTCTCTCCCCATGCAATGCGTACTTGCCTATGATGGCACCCACGTGGAAAATGTTTGATCTAAAGAAAGGTATTCTTTTCTCTGATATAGGTGTTGTCATGAGTGATCGGTGTCTTGTCTCAAAATTCTGGAATCCCCCAGAAAGAGAGTGCAAACAAGCATAAAAAAGTATGCCTTTCTAAATACATAGTTTTTATTAAATGTGTATAGAATTTATTGCATCTAAATTCTTAATCTTCATCCTCCTATTTTATCTTCATTTCGTTGGAAGTTCTCCATTATATATCAGTTTTGATAATTTTCTGGTACACTGTTACTTCACACTAATTTTTTATTCAACAACTTTTTATGGCTGTTTAATTCTATTTACTTTAAAATAATGTGTGAGAAAACGAGTGACTTAATATCTCTTGATTGTGTTTGATTATGTTTGTATTATTTCAGATCTGAAGACGATTATAGGGAAACCCAGAAAGCCATGAAAGATGACCTCGAAATATCTCGTACAGGAGAAGACTTGTGTGCAGTTTGATGCAAAATTCTGCTATTTCATTTTAGTGTTTAAATGGTACCACTTTTTTTCCTTCATGGAACTCTTTAATAAAATTTGTGTGTTTTTAATAAAGAAAAATCGTTTTGCAGAGCAATATCAAGAGATTAATCCGTAAACTTTGGTGGATTTAAAGGATTGTATACTGAGTGAGATTGTAAACATCCCTCATGCCATGTTGCGTTCAGCGGTATTCTCCCTCTCTCCCAATGCAATGCATACTTGCCTGTGATGGCACCCGCGTGGAAAATGTTTGATCTAAATAAAGGTATTTTTTTGTTTGATATAGGTGTTGTCATCAGTGATCGGTGTAACTTAGAATAGATTGTTAAAGGATATATAACGTGTCTTGATTTTCGCTTTTAGAAGCAATTCTTGACCTTTAGTCCCCTTCTCTATGGGATTTCCTACAAATTTTTTTGGGGGGTGGTCTAAGGGATTAGATGTGCAGAAAGAAAATTTTTATTAAAGAATCCGAAATTTTTAAGAAACAAATCGACAACTAGATTATTTTCTTTATATTATATATTGATTTACATATTTTATTTCGTTATTTGAAATTGTTATGCACAGTTCGTAGCTCTTAACTGTCATTAATCCCACAAAGCACAGTTTTGTACTCTTGCTGTTAACTATTGTACATCCTTCGCTGCCCTGTTTCAAATATTTGAATTCACTTCTTCTTGAACAGGCTTGATTGGGAAAGAAAGAGAAAAAAGTAGCAAAATCAAATAAACAATAAAACACTGACTAATTAATACCAAAGTTTTACAAGTTACACATGAATACTACATATTGTGCTTTCATATAATATAATTTTATGAAAAAATAGAAAAATTAAAACAAAATACAATAAAATCTTCAGTGCAAGAAACTCTGTCCAATAACAGCAGCTTTTGTATTGAAAGTAAGCCTACATTCTGAATACAACCTTGAAAAATATTTAGAGGAATTTGCAACTACCCCGATTAGATTAAATGACCTATTTGAAATGCCCCCCATTGTTATATCATTCCTGCATTCTTAATTATTTCCATTTACACTTTTTGAAGGGTAAAAATGAATGTTAGATTCATCTCCAGTAAAATGTCTAATAAAATTTTGATTTAGATTTGAGACTTTGACTGCATCATTTGTGGTGCAGCTTTCATTGAAAACTTGGACGTTTTGTGTTGCGTACTACCTGCTTTGTGAAGTTACATTTCAACAAATATGTTAGCAATTTCTCAAAAAATTTCCTCTCGTCAAAATATAAAGCAGTATTCCCCGAGTTATCTCTTTTGCGAATTTAGCCATTTACTTCCAAGTTTCCTTTGTATTCACCCTCAGTTTCCTTTGTATTCGCAGGTGCACTTACAGTCATCCTACAGAAATGCTGAATTTAAGCCAATAGTTCATGAGCCATGTCAGAATAAAATAAAGGTACCATTTTATAGATAGCCATACTTTTTTATTCAAAGTTCTTGGTGAATTACTACAACAACTTTTTTAACTGAACAGTAAATCTGGTTATATTACAGGAGAGTAGAAAAAATTAAATGAATAAGTAAAGTATTGAAATTTAATTTTTAATTTCATATGTGCATTGTGCAATACGCAGTTATAACTACACACATTATACTTTACCAGTAAAGAGTAAACTAAAATCCTCCTTATTTTATCCATCTCCTGCCAGGCACTTAAATATTGAATCTTTAAGTGCCTACATATATGTACAATAGATGACCTTTAAAAGGCCAAAGTAATATAAGTACGCTATTTTCTATTATATCCATTGGATAAATGAACAAATAAGCCCCGACTGAAATTACATGAAACAAATTTGACAGGTAAAAACATTTTAATAAAAAGTCTAGGCCAGTAATCTTGCCTTTCATTTAATACACATTTTCAAACTGAATAAGGACTACCAAAGTATAAAAAAAGGCCATGGCAGGGCCAGATTTATGAAAAATTATAAGAACAATTTTTAATTAAATGTAAAAAATGCAAATGTTATATACTTATTATAACTTTATTCAGCTACACAGCTATTAAATCTTCATTTGTAACTTGTAAAAATGCAGTCTGAGCAGTGGCATTAGTTTCTGTGCTTTCTGAAGGTTGAATCACACTGAATTTCACATAAATTAATTGCATTTATTCTGGATCACATTCATTATTGTATCTGAATACATTTTTAAAAAAATTCCTTTTTTTTGGGGGGGGGAGAGGGAAGAAACATTTCAATACATTGCTTACTGTGCTTGAAATTTGCATGTAAAGTCTAATGAAAAGCAACACACATTCTTCAGACGCATTCAGATCTGCAAATGATAGTTTCTACTAAACATTTCGGAAAATAAAATTCATAATTGAACAAAGATGAAGAATACTCTAGTAAAAATAAATAGGTGTGGCTCAACGGTCTCCAGACCATCGATAGCCTAAATAAAGGGATTTCACTAAAAATTATCTTACATTTCAAATCTTTCTTTTCAACCATCTTTATTTTCTTATTTTATATCATTAGCTATAATCATTTTGCATACAATTTTCTTTAACTTTTATAGGATTTTTATAGAAAAGTTAAAGGAATAAATTTATGAGTACTACGATGTGAAGAAGACAACTTCTTGGATAATAAAAAGGTGCAAATGTAATCGTACACAGATAAACCTAAAAGACAAATACGATGCTAATTGTTTTCTAAACATTATTGAAATTTAATTTTTAATTTCAGCTATTTTAACGTGAATTTGGAAATTATTTTTAAACATCGTATTCTAATGATGCCAAGAAAAGATGAAAGGAGCAGAATGCAATTTTCTGCTATTTAAATAATATGAAACTGTCCCATCCTAAAAGAAGGGGAATAATGAAATAAAATAATATATTAATTATTACAAGTTAGTGAACCTTTTTTTCACGCATATAATTTGCCGATAGCATTGTGGAATAAGTGTAGATTTTAACTCTAGAATTTCCTTTTACTTGATAAATGAATGAATTTTCTACCTCACGTCTTTCAAACAGGGCATTTTCTTTAACTTAGAGGGGATATACATTTATCCAAACGCTGCCAAATATTTTAGTTCTTTTAAATAATGATGTTTTCCTTTCATGTGAAATTTCACTCGCTGGAATTAAGAATGGATGAGACCTAATTAGAAAAATCTGTTGTAGCCAGTACATGACCTCCAATTCCATATGGAGACATGCCAGCAGCACGAAATTTAAGTAAATTATCATTTCCGGTTGATAGTTTGTAAGTCAAATCGAATTTTTTTATGTCCCAATGTTAATTACAAACGCTATTTTTTTTTTTTTTATTATACTACTCTCCCATACAATCGACACTGATAATTAAACGTGCTCTTGTAGACTAGAGTTGAACGATCCTATCTTGAGAGCAACTGATTGCAGAAATGAAAGTGGTGGCTCTTTTACAGTTCACGGAGAGCTCTTGCAGGAATAGAGAGGTGTGGTATAAAGTGTTTATTTCTGTGTCGGATATGGAAGAACAGATATAGTAAATGCGCTCCTACTTTCCCACTTCGGATCTCAACACCAATTCAAATTTCCGTTAATTACCGGTAGTTTGGTGATAACTAAAATCTGAACTTTTTCTGATCTTGCAAGGTTTATGTTAATTTTATTAACAGTTAAATTTTGAGTTAAACTTCCTTCTCTATCGATTCTTACTTCAACTTACCATTTCCGGCCAGAAAGTAGTTTTAGAATCACGTCTGAATATTATGGCTCTACTTGCAGCCAGAATATCTGGTATCTCTCTCACTAAGACTGTCGAACTTCGCGGTTATATACAGCTCTTCCTCATTAGTATTCAGACGCGATTCTAAAACTACGTTCTGGCTGGAAGTGGTAAGTTGAAGTAAGAATCTATAGGAAAGGAAGTTTAACTCAAAATTTAACTTTTAATAAAATTAACATAATCCTTACAATCTTATTACTCAGTTTCTCAGTTATATTTACACCCACTATTTTGGAATGGTTCCTTTCTTTCTGTGATTCAAATAGTTCTTTCTTTCCCTTTTTAAGCCTGAAAGCCGACTGTAGCACTTTTTTCGATAGAAGTTTAATTTTAGATTTTAGCATTTTTGCGCTACAAACAGTTTTGATTTCGATAGGTTTCCTTATTCCCAAAGACATGAGTTTCCCAATGATCAGTATAATAGCTGAATGTCGATATTATTCGCAGTTAACTTCAGAAAGAGATTATTAACATTACTGAAAAGGAAGAATGTATTTGAGGTAACAGCAAATGGAGGTATAATTATGAAAGATAACAACCGAAAAGGAAAGTGCGATAGATGATCATTTTGAGAAACTCTGAAAATAATTCCTAAATGCGAGTACTATTATGCTATTGTACTGAAGTAACCTGAAAGAGATTAATTGTCACATTTTTATTGGAATCTAATTCATAGTTTGATCTGCATCAATAAATCTTTTACTAAAAAATTAATTCACGGTCCAAGTAAGGTGGGACCGGAAAGCACCCACCTCTTGATGAAAATCGCAACAGGCGAAAATTAGTGGATCATACATGTCCTTAGACGAAAATACTGAGACATCAGTTTGCAAAGAAAATATTTTTTGTATAATGCTCTGAACCTAACACTCTTCATTTGAAACATTAATATTTTCTATGTTACGAGCTGGAGATGAATTCCTTAAGAGCACTAGAGCGTGAGTAATTAATCAGGACTTCTGAAGTATTCTCTTTTTGTCCCCCATTTCTTCATGCCTAGAATGGTCTTCAGGCTTTAATAGAGACTTTCTTTTGAGAGACCTTTTTTTTACTTAACTATGATAACTAAAACTAGAACATTCCTTAAAGTATTTCTTTATCTCTTATGATTTTAAACTTATTTTGTCAAATATAAAATTCTTTTATTAACAGTCAAAGTAAATTTAACGAAAATGAGGAAATAATCTTTTGATTGTTATTTCATACATGTATAAGGTATTTCTCCCGCCTTCCTAGCGTGCCTTCGTGGTGTAGTGGTTCTGCACGATGGGCCGGTATTCCAGAGGTCCATGGTTCGATTCCCGGCGAAGGCGATTGCTCATTTTTCATCTTGCCTGCTTCCAAAAAATACCTAATCTCTCTACACATGAATAAATTAAAGCACGTTCATTGCAACGAAAAATAAGTATACTATCAGTACAAGAAGTTCTTCCTCTTCATGTGGATAATAATAGTATTAGAAGTTCCTTAAAATGTATTG